ATCCGCACCACTCTCCTCATGTTCTTCCAGTCGGAGGCGCTGCAGCCTCCACACCACACAGAGAGGCAGCTGGTCAGAATGCTCTCTATGGTGCTTCTGTAGAACGTCTTGAGGATGGGCGGGGGCAGGTGTGCTCTTCTCATCCTCCGCAGGAAATACAAACGTTTCTGTGCCCTCTTGACCAGAGACGTGGTGTTCACAGTTCGTTAGTGATGTGCACCCCCAGGAATTTGGTGCTGCTGACCACCTCCACAGCCGAGCTGTTGATGAGCAGTGGAGCGTGGCTGTGCTGGTTCTTCCTGAAGTCGACGATCATCTCCTTTGTCTTGTCAACGTTCAGGATCAGGCTGTTGTCTCTGCACCAGTCTACCAGCTGCTCCACCTCCTCTCTGTAGTCCAGGTCGTTGTCGTCTCTGATGAGGCGCACCACCGTTGTGTCGTCCGCGAACTTCACGATGTGGTTGGTGGCGAACCTGGGGACGCAGTCGTCTCGCTCTGAATTTTAAACTTTACATGGTTCCTTTAATCACAGATTTTGCTGCCCTAGCAGAAGCTGCTGCCAAGCATCTGGATTAAGCAGTGGTGATGTAATGAAATCTGAGTGTTTTTTTCTGTGTTGGTGTTTGCAGGTTAAAGATGAGCGTAAAGCCCAGGAGGTGTTTGACCTGGCTGATTACGAGCGCTCAGAGGAGCTGAGGAAGGCGAAGAGTCGGAGCAAGAAGAACCACAGTCGCTTCACGTTGCTGCGCTGCAAGCAGCGAGGAAACACGGTGAGTTCTGCCTGCAGTTTCAGAGACTTTCACACCTGATAACCCAAAACACTCGGTTCAGTTGGGGAGAAAATCTGCAGCGTTTGTTACATTTTCAGCTGCTGTGGTTCACTTTCACACTGCACTGTGTTAAATGAACCAAAACCTCTGAAAAACCTGTTCCCCTCCTTGCCTGTGGGGGCGCTGCACCAAGAACCACTGAAGGAAACGACACAAAAACATCTAAAGAAGACACTGAGCGCAACTTCCTTCTTCAGAAATGGAGTGGCGTCAGATTTTAGCGATGGTAGGATTTCTCTTTTGTCTCTTGGAAAAAAACTACGAGCCATTTCTTCTGCTAGCGCTGAACTCTTGTATTTGTTTTGCTTTCATTTACCCAGAATGCTCTCTGCTATAGTCCACTTCCTGCTTTGGAGCGGTCTCCAAAACACATGATGGCGGTTTTGGCTTGGATTTAATCAGAGCCACTGATGGACCTTCTGAGGGAAACTACATGGCCTGGCCAAGGTTTTTAGACTCAATTTGGTCTGGAGGCCTCGACGTTCATTAGCATAGCTTAGCACACTGCAAAACAAAATATTACCAGGCATTTTTGGTCTAGATTAAAGTGCAAATATCGTAGTACACTTGAAGTAATTTAAAACTAACTTACAAGTAGATTTTCAGCAAGATATAGAAGCTTGTTTAAATTTCTAAATATTTATTTTTAAAAGCACTCAGTTCACAGGAAGGTTATTTTACTTATAACAAGACATTTTTCCCATATAACTATTTCTATACTAAGAGAACTAGTATTTTTCATCAAAGTTGAGAGAATATTGACTTTAAATAGGGTTAAAATAGGTTCCTATATTTTGCTTACTTGTAAGTTAGTTTTGTTTTATTTCAAGACATTTGCACCAGAAACTAGACCGATTTTGTGTTTTTGTGGTGTAAATCCACTCTTTAAATTTTACTTAAACCTACACTGTAAAAAAAATCTAATTTATGCAAAAATATATAGTAAAATTCTGGAAACCACAGCTGCCGGTATATTACTGTAAATTAGAAATGTTTTTTTACAGTGTAGAAAAACCATTACTAACATAATAATGAAAGTCAGAACACAATGTGCTGCTTCAGTTATATTCATTCAGGTGAATCCCGGTAAATTAGTAAATAGTTAAAAAATTAACTTATAGAATTTCATTAACTCCATTCTAACAGTGAACAGATATTTAAATTTATTTAAATGATTACAGTTAATGAAAATTGACCGAACACCGAATCGTTTAGTTTTTGTTTCTCTGTGTGAGAAAAGTAATTTTTTCCAGCTGCAGCTCTGCTGAGGCCATGCAGACCCAAATCCACCAGACCATAACTCAGAGCAGAGCGGAGGCTTACTTACAGATCTTATGATGTCGACGCTGCACAGCTCTAATCGTCCGGTTTCAGTCGACCGGTTTCTTCTGCTCAGATTATCTATTGAAAAGGCTTATGAGGGAAATCCACAGGGTTTACTCTGACTTTAAACTTCAGCTGAAATGATTGGAAGATATGTTTTTCCTTATGACCGGACGTATGTTCATCTGTCACTTCCTGATGCCTCCAGTATTTATAAAGCACTTTTGAAAGTTTTTATTTTGGTTTTTATGTTAATTTTATTTTAGGCAACTTTAAGTTTCCTGGGATGTTTTGATTTGTTAAGAAACTTTAAGAGTTCAGACTTTGACATATCTCAGAAACCTGAGAAAAGAACAAATGTTAAAGAAGATCCGTCTGTCTGTCCATCCATCCGTCTGTCTGTCTGTCTGTCCATCCATCCGTCCGTCTGTCTGTCTGTCCCTCCGTCCGTCCGTCCATCCATCCATCCATCCATCCATCCACATCCAACCATCCATCCGTCCGTCCGTCAATCCGTCCGTCCGTCCGTCCGTCCGTCCGTCCGTCCGTCCGTCCGTCCGTCCGTCCTTCCGTCCGTCCGTCCGTCCGTCCGTCTTTTCTTCTTTGCATGAAAAGCACCAAACATTATCAGAAATCCTGATTTCAGAACCAACAGATCCCCATTAACCTGCACATAATGGCTGCTGAATTGCAGGTTAATTTGTCCTCTCCTTCCTGTTTCTGCTCTTTGTTTTTTTATTGTTTCCTGATCACTAGGCCTGTGTTGTTTTCCTTCCTCCCTTAAACTCCACTTTCTGCCAGTTTCACAATGTTTTAGTTGAACAATCCGGTGAGGAACCGGAAAGACCTGTCCATAGGGAGATATGTGAGAATGTTACATCAGCTATTTCATGGGCGGTTAGTCTGCATTTATCCTTTCCAGATGTGAAAACTTCCTACAGTTCGTCCTTTCCATGTGTCTCTGCTCGTCTCCGTCTGTCCTCTGCTTCCGGAGATTATGCCGTCCCAACTGTCCAGCCGCCCCATTGGAGCGTTTCCCCCGTCAGGATTGGTGGATCTAAACGTTTATTTCCCTCCCACTCGCCCTGAGCGGCTCTGAATGGCCGAGCGCTGACCGTTTTTTCTTTACCCCGTGAAAAAGCTTAATCTGCAGAATCCCATTAGTCCGTGAGTTACAGCAGAATAATCCCTGAAACACTTTCACATGCCAGTCTTCTGCTTACTCTTTCTTATAGTCGTGCAAACTCTGAACTGAGGCAGAGGAAACGTGACTGAAACGGCTTTCTCGTGTGTAGTAGATTATGTCTGCTTCAGTTTACAGATTAATATTCTGGAACGTTTTATAAAAAGTCACGAAATCTGCTAGCTAAGAAGGACTTGTAGCCTTCGTGTTTGTTAGTACATGTGCTTACTCTGCCAGTTACCAGAACCTTGATATTCACGTGAAGAGTTTGTACGTTCTTTATGAATCCGTTTAAATATTGATCGTATGCGTCCAATGATTCCAGGTCGTGAATCTCCTCCATGTCGTACAAACTCTTCCTGTTCACTAAGCAGTTATTAACTAACTCGTAGTTTGAGAGCAGAGGCAGCTTGTCCACATCGTCTGACATATTTTCCTTCTCATACGGGTTGGTCCTGACAGCAGCCATTTTGTTCTTTTTCTCTTGTACGTTGGTGAAGAGTGTCCATGTTTCCTTTTTGTTGGTCTCAAAGCCGTTGGCCCGCTATGCATTGTGCTCGCCTACTAAGATGGAGCAGATTTCTTCCGGTTCAGACTGGTGGGAACTATGTACAGGTCACCTTTAAAACATTGGTCAGAAAAGATTAAACTTCGTCTTTTTCAGGTTCCTAACCTGGTGTTTCTGGCTGTGAGTCCGGAGGAGAAGGAGTCCTGGATCAACACGCTGAACGTGGCTATAATCAGGGCCAAGAACAGAGTTCTAGATGAGGTCTGACCTGGTCTGTCTAGAGGTTTTTAAGGGTTTGAGGTGGAAATGTTGATGTCTTTCCATTGGGCTTTCAGGTGACCATTGAGGAGGACAGCGCTCTGGACCATCTGACCAGAGATCGGGCCAAGATCCCTCACAGCCGCCGGCTGCCGACCAGAGGACACCTCATGGCCGTGGTACAAACATCCCCCTTTCCTCCTTCCTGTTATTCTGGATTACCACCTTTCATGAGATCGTCTCTGAAACCTCAGGCCTCCACATCCTCCCACGGCATGCTGACCCTTGACCTGGTTGCTGAAGAGGACGGTTTCTGCCTTGAATATGACGACGACGAATCCTGGGAGGACAGCTTCCGGGTCGACCTGCAGAAAGAGGGCTCCGGAGGCGGGATCGGGGGTCGTCAGCGGGCAGGAACCGACGTCTCGAAGCTGCGGGTGATGACCAAAGAGCCCAAAGTGAAGACGGGGAGCCTACCGAGAGGCAGCGAGCGCTCCTGGGGCAAACAGTCACACCTGGACGCCTCCAAAGTCCAAAAGAACCAGCAAGTCCAGGTGAGACACTCGCTGTGTTTCATCCATCCGTCATAAGGTTTCTGAGCGAACTTTGAAAATGTCATAAAAAGAAAATGTGAGTTTGTTTTGTTTCCATCTACTGGTTTGAAGAAGGCCTGGATGATAAATAATAGTAATAAATATCGCACAGCATTCTGGGAGATGTAGGCAGAGAGAAGACGTTAGCCTCATGACCAGCCAAGCAATGCTGGTGCACTGTAAAAACACAAAATCTTACAAAGTAATTTTTGTTTAGTTTCTAGAGCAAATATCTTAATACACTTGAAATAAGACAAAACTAATATACAAGTAACTTGTCAGCAAGATACATGAGGTTGTTTTAAGTAAATAATTCCTTAATATTGATGAAAAAGTTCTAGTCTTATTGGAATAACAAGACATTTTCCACATGTTATAAGTGAAATAATCTTCCAATGGAACTAGAACTCTTACCTGGTAAGATTTTGTGTTTTTGCAGTGTGGAATCAACTCACTCATTCTTTGGTTACCTAGCAACTCACTCACTCTTTGGTTACCTAGCAACTCACTCACTCTTTGGTTACCTAGCAACGACCTGTTGAGCAACTGACACAGTAGCAGTTTAAGGTTTCCACTGTGTTTCATAACTACTTAACGCTGTGGAGTGAAATCTGTGGATAAAACAGGGAAGGTCACATCACCAGCTGGCAGGATTTCAGACACTTAAAACAAAAACTATAGACAATTATCGATATTCATGCATTTTGTTTGGAGCAAATCAACCAGGCTAGCAGGATTTGTCATATGTTGACGCTACGCATGGATGTAAAAATCAGGTTTCACACCAGCATGAACCATCTCACCTGGAAAAACAAGATTTTTGTTTTTTAATTGGTGTGTTTCCATTGAGCTAATTTATTTTTGTAATTCCTATTTGTGTGATTTTATGGTCAATGGATCATCATCTGTGAACGGGTTATGCCACAAACTGCTGATCTGACCTTTGCTCCTTCAGGTCCTTCAGGCCCAGTCTCGAACGCCGCAGCCAGGGAAGAGGTTCAGCATGCAGGGTCGGAGTCGCTGCGCCTCCATGGATGAAGTCCTGTCCTCCAGGTGAAACATCCATAGATTAATCTCTTAATCTGACTGGAAATTACTAGATAATCATCTTGAAGTGGTTCTTTTTACTGGCTAGAGGCTCTGGATCAAATATTCTGGTAATTTAATTTGATCCACTTTTACAATAACCTAGAGAAATTACAGGTTTTAAAATCAACTCCTTCATCTGCACCATAATCTGGAGGACAAGCAGAGCCTCTGAAAAATTATGGGATTAAAGTCTGAATCCTGACTCAAAACTTTGACTTTAATCTCAGAATTCTGACTTTAATCTCAAAACTTTTACTTTAATCTCAGTATTCTGATTTTAATTTCTGAAGTCTGGCTTTAATCTCAGTCGCCCTAATCCTCTTCAGTTCCAGATATGTCAGATTTAATAAATTTCAGTCACACTGATTTATTTTTTTTTGTTATGTCTAAATATATTAATCGTTATGCTATCAGGAAGGATATTAGAGATTGTCAATTAAATTTTACAGGCACTTTAACAAATCCTGGGATTTTTTGACAATCAATTTAACTCATGCAGGAAAAATGAAATATGAGCACTGAATCTGAAAATGTGTTCACTAATAAAAAAATCATGGCTCATCAAGCAACACAAAAACTGTGAGTACAAATTTGATTCTTAGTGTGATCCCTGTTTGTGCTTTTAACTGTGTATTTGTTTTGGTGGTAAATAACACATTTCCACCTCTACCCTATTTGAATCCCAACTGAGGCGCTTCTGTCTGGATTTTGCATATTCTCATTTTGCATGTATTGGGATTTTCACCAGTTATTCCGGTTTACTAACGGAACCACGTGTTAGTGAGTCAGTGACTCTAATTTGGTTGTTCATGGTTGGTCTGTTGACTTAACCTGGATGTTTCTGTAGTTGGAGCTACTGGATGCATTGATGGGATTTCTCTACTTGGCTTTTGTACTTACTCTTAATTTTATTGCATTATTTATCAGATTGACACAGAGACTTTTTCTTCCTTCCTAAGTTAAAACATTACAGAATCACATTTTTAATAAAGTTACAGCAGCAAGTCTTTACTGAAGTTTATTTGTACTGCAAAAGCACAAAATCTTACAGAGTATTTTTAGTCTAATTTCTAGTGTAAATATCTTGAAAAAAGACTAAATTAACTTACAATAAACTTTTCAGTAACATATCGGAGCTTGTTTTATGTAAATAATTCCTTAATATTGATGAAAATGTACTAGTTCCACTAAACAGACAGATTATTTTACTTAAAACATGAGAAAAATGTTTTGTTATAAGTGAACTGCCTGTGGAACTAGAACGTGGTTGCTAGGTTACAGGCTGAGCTTGGCTGGGGTTGCTAGGTAACGGTACACAGCCAGTTGATTGCGGGGCTAATATATTTTTTAGCGATATTAAGCAATTATTGACTTAAAACAAGCTCCTGTTTCTTGCTGAAATGCTTTTTGTAAATTAGTTTTGTCTGTTAATATATTTTCACTAGAAACTACACCAAAAATACTTGGTAAAATTTTGTTTTTGAATTGCACATTTCAACCTAATGACCAGAAAAATAGAACGATCACATAAACTGAAAGGGAACTGAAGGACTTCAGGTGCTCTGAACACACAGAGGCTGATAAATGTTTAATAAGATGATTTGATGCTCAATCTGCTTTTCCAGACCAGCAATGATTCGGTCAGAGTTTCGTTCGGCTCTTCGTCGCTGTCCGACCGAAGAGGAGGCGGGCAGCGGCTCCTCCGCCCAGCCTGTCGGCCAGCTGCAGAGCCTCATCGCCCAGAGGATGCAGAGAGCCCAGGAGCTGCTGGAGGAAATGAGGCTGCAGGTCGGACTTCCTCAGAAACCTCCGTCCCTCCCACTGTAAGCTGTGAAATGATGGTAAATGTCGCTGTTTATAGGAGCTGCAGAAGGCCAAAGCAGAGAGAGAACGAGGCGGCAGCTCAACGTACCTGAAGGGGATCAACTCCCCTCGGCTTCACCACCTCAGGGGCTCAGACTCTCCCCACTCCAGGTTGGTCTCATCACATTCTGTTACAACCAGAGATTATTTTAGTCTGACGATTAATCGATTAATCAAATAAACAAATTCTACAAATTTTTCATTTAAACACTTGTGCCTTTTCCATACAGTCTTAGAAATATGTTAAACTATGCAAATAAACAAATCAGTTACTTTTTTAATTAGGAAAATAAATGTTTTATTTCCTAAAATGCAATCTTTAGTGAATTTTACCAGGTGAATATATAAAAAAAATGCCACTTCAGGAGTTTTGGGTAAAAAATATTTATAGATAAAGGTGTTTTTATCTTACTTGCAAAATGTATAAATATTTTGTGCAGTTTGGTTAAATGACTGCTCTCAGTTTGTTGAGGTTTCTTCCAGTAAATGTCCGTTTTTGAGTCTGTATCTAGTTTACGATTAATTGATTAATCCAATTAATGCAAACTGTATTTTGTCCAGCTTTGTTAAGTTATTGCTCTGAATAGGTTGTTCTTTTTTCCAACATCTAACTTTTTTGAGGCTGTACAGTGTAGTTAACGATTAATTGATTACTAAATTAGTTGACGATTATTTTAAAAAATCGCTGAATCTGATTAATCGTTTCAGTCCTAGCTGACAGAGTTTCCTGTCATCATCAGCAGATCGTCGGGGTCTCCGAGGAGCAGGAGCAGCGACTCGCCACGCCTCCGGGGCAAAGACTCGCCTCGCCTCAGAGGAAGAGAGTCTCCTCGATCTAAAGCCAAGAAGAACCGCTCCAAAGCCGCCGACTCACCTCGCTCCAGAGGGTCTCACTCTCCTGCAGCTAAAGCCGCCGACTCCCCTCGCCTAAAGGATCCGAGCGGCTCTCCTCGATCGAAGAGCTCCGACGCTCCAAAACCGAAGGGGTCATCGGGTTCCAACAGAAAGGATTATTCTCCTCCACAGAAGACTCCCGAGACGCCGCCATGTTTGAATAGATCCAATTCCTGTCAGGCGGAGGGATCCGGTTCGTTGCAGGGCAGCGAGACCGACTCCCCTCATCTGGGCATCATTAAGGAGAACCAGCAGAACCAAAACTCTCCTGGTCTGCACAGATCCTTCGACTCCGCGCTGCCCAAAACCCCCGACAAGCTCCGCGTCTCTCCTCCTCTGGAGCCGCCCGAAGAGGATCAGGAGGTGGAGAGGCGGCGTGCCGAGGCCGAGCGGCTGCTGGAGGAGGCGGTGTCGTCCTGGAAAGAGGCGCAGGAGGTCCTGCAGGAGGTGAAGGAGCTGCAGAGCCAGACGCTGAGGCGGCAGCGCAGGAGGACCTACGAGAAGATGACGACGTCGGCGGCGGCGGCTTTGCAGCCTGCGGCAACCGCATCCGGAGAGGAGGACGACACTCCGGCCTCCCCGACGTCACCGGAGGACGAGGAGGAGTCCGAGACTCCTTGATGAGAACAAACATCCGGCAGCGCTTCTCTGCATGCTTACACTGCAAAAAAAACTAAATCTCACCCCATTTTTTTGGTCCAGTTTCTAGTTAAAATATCTTAGTGCTCTTGAAATAAGACAAAACTAAATTAAATGTAACATTTCTGCTAGAAATAGAGGCTTGTTTTAAGTAAATAATTCCTTATAGTTGACCTACTGTGCTTCTTTGAACAGGATAGGATAGATCTATGGGTTATACAAACAGTTCATTACATGTTTTGCACAAAATCATTATCTGATAATTAGATTTCAGACTGGTAAGCTTTGCCTATTTAGAGTTCCTTCCAGTTGTTTTAGGGCGTCTTGTCACTTTAAATCCCAATATGCTGCTGCTGGCCACGCCCCCAACTCAATGTTTACACTCTCACTTTAAAATGGCTGCAAACAGATACACAGTCATACAACCATACATCTTTGAAAAGCAGAAGTGGAGCCTCCTGCACAATCAACGGGAATGCAGCAAGGGGTTTCTGGATGGGAAGTCAACAAAAAAAAAAAAAAAAAAATTGTCTTTTCCAGCAGCCATTGTACAGCACATAAGAGCAATAAAAAAAGCAAAGCAAACATCCTTGACCTCAGATTGAGTTGCTAAGCAACGGGCAGTGACTGCTGATTTGTGAGGTTACAAACAGACACCAGATAGGTGTTTTTTTTAAGCACTTAAGCTTTTTAGAAGCAGTAAAAACCCAGATTTAAGTTTTAAAAATTTGCAAAATGTGAACTTTGTATAATATGTCCCATTTAATATTAACAAAAAAGTACTAATTCCACTGATTATTTCACTGATAACGAGACATTTTCCCATAAGTAAAATAATCTGCCAGTTGAACTAGAACTTTCCTATCAATATTATGTAATTATTGACAATATAGCTCCTATTTGCTGAAAAGTTACCTGTAATTTAGTTTTGTCTTATTTCAAGTGTAATAAGATATTTGCTCTAGAAACTACACCAAAAATACTTGGTAAGATTTTCTGTGTTTGCAGTGTATGCACAAAAACCTAACAACGTTTACACAATTTTTACATTTTTGATCGTATTTCCAAAAAGATTTCAACATTTTCATTGATTAAGGCAACAAGATGCACGTGACGATAAATGTGGATTATTTAAAAACCAGGGATACGTTTCGTTCCAGGGGATTTATTGACTTTAATCCTGTCTGGCGCTCTGTCGTCACCAAGCAGAAACCCCCTCTGTGCTGTCAGGAGACCTCCATCTGTGGCGGGAGCTCCACATTTAATTTTAATTAACGCAGCTTTAATGGAGAGGAGCTCCTCTGCACCTTCTCTCACGATGCTGCACGGCTTCCTTCTTTGTCTCTGAAGAGAAAATCCTCTCCGTTCATTTAAAACCAAGATGTCAAACCTTTTTATGACAGTCAATGAAGAGCACAAAATGACTTTTTTTAAAGAAACAAAATGAACTTCCGATTTCTGCACTGATTTAAAACTTTAACCTGCTTGTTTGCTGATATATCACTGAGTCTTCTTTGTAGCATTTCTTTTAAAAAACGTCTTTGAAATCGTTTGATCGCCTGATTTAGTTGTAGCTTAAAGGTGACCTATTATGCTTCCTGGAGCAGTTTAGGATAGTTTTATGGGTAAAACCAGCTAACCAATCGTCCTGGAGCTCCACTTGGGTTCCTAGGTGACGGGCCGAACTCGGCTGTGGTTGCTAGGTGACGGGCCGAACTCGGCTGTGGTTGCTAGGTAACGGCGCAGTGCCAATGGAATGTGGCTCAACAATTGAGAGATATTTGAAACTACTCTTTTGCCAAATACCAAAAAACATTAACTTACCAGAAAATGGGTAAGCGCTTGGTGTTTTTTAGAAGCAGCGGAAACCCAAACGGAAGTATAAAAATGTATAATAGGTCTCCTTTAATGAACAGCAGATCTGCTGCAAGTTTTCTTCCAGCTTATTATTGATTTTCAAATAATCTCAGTCTTTTCAAGCTACATCCAAAATCAGGGAGTTTGAAGTTGTAAAAGATGAGCAAAAAAAAAAGAAAAAAAAGAAGCAATAATAACTGATTTTTATTATTATCTGTTTGTAATTTCAGGCTGAAAAAAAGCCGCAGACCAGCTCAGATATTATAAACTCTGCACTATGGGCTGAACTTCTTTGTAACAATATTGCTGCAACCAGCTTTTACTGTATGATTGAAAACTGAAATCAGGATTTTATTTGCACATTTGCTGAATATTTGAGGCTGATAGTTGACTTTTTATTAAATCCTCACATAATGTTTGATTTTTTAAAAATAATTAATTTGTCCCTTTAAATTATTTCCCATCAGAACATTAACAAATGTGCTTCTGTTATATAAAGATCATCCAATAGATTTTAATATCAAGAAAAAATCAACTGAGTAGATACAAAACACAGTTTCCAAATAATTATTTCATTTAGTAAGGGATAGCCAAACTAACCTGATCCTGTGTGAAAATTTAATTGACCTCAAAAACTAATTGGCCACAATTCATCACAATAAAGAGAGAAATAAAGAGATCTTTTTTTACATAAGTTACTTTTTTTCTGCAATTCTACCACATCTTTCAAAATCTTAGGTATCATAAAGGTACTTCCAAGAAATTTACAAACATGATTATGCAACTTATTACTAATGAAAACTAACTATGATGCTTGAACTATTATGTCACATTTTTAAATGTTACACTATTGATATTTAATAACGCTTGTTTAGGGATGAAAAATTGGGTTTTCTACAAGTTCTCAATTTTTCCCCTCTGAATAATAAGGTATTTTCATACTTCATTTGTAATTTTTTATGATGCAGTTGAAGTTAACCCATCTACAAACACACCCACGGATATTTTCAAAGACATAGAGGCCTTGGCGACATGAAAACAATCGTTATATTTGTTGATGTTTCGAAAAACGGTTGTTGTCTATGCTGTTGTTTCCAGATGTTTGTTCATCCACTCAAAAAACTCTGAATATAACGCAAAATACTGTAGTAACTACTCCAGGCCTGTGTGTGGCGCTGTGGCGCCACCGCAGAAATACACCAAAGCAGAGAAGAGTCGTTCGGTGAAGTAGGCTGCAACGTCAAAAAACAACTCATAAAACATGGTTATAGCGGCACTAAAATACAATTTGCGCCCGTGAAATGTTGTTTTAAAGCCAGTTCACAAACCAGAAACAATAAAAAAATACCTGTCTTTTTTTTATGGTTGCATGTAGACGGCACCAAAAACAGGTAACATTAGCAACGGTTAGCTAGCTAGCTCAAATCATCCGTTCGATTGAAACTTTAGCTTGCTAGCTAACGGCCTTTAGTCACAGGAGGGTCGCTTCACATTAATTTTATTTAGCTGTTACAACATTGATCAAACAGTTATCTTCAAGGACAAACTGAAAAATGCCAGCTAATGTATGATTTGGCTAAATAACTGCTGTTCCTGATCACTTCTTGATTATTTAATGATACAATGAATAAGTCGAATAAATCTGAACGTACATTTTACAAATTTACAGCAGAATAAATTCCACAACTTTAAAAGTTCAGTTTTCATTGGGAACATGAAGGATATTAAGAGCTGCTAATGTTCCGTTAAGGTTGATTATTGTCTATGTAAAAAGTCACATTTTGTAAGATATAACTTTCTTTTTTAAATTTGCAGTGTCGCAATGTTTGAAACATTTTTTCTCCAGTTTGTGAGTGTTTGCACATTTGTCATGAATACTGAGAGCATGGATAAAATAGCACCAATGCTGGCAGAGCTAAATCACATTGTGAGTTATTTGTACTGTGAGATTTTGAGAGGACGTGAAACAAATGTATTAATTTGTAATTTATTTACATGTTTATGCACATTGAAAAAAAAAGCATTTTCTAGGCAGAATCCAATGCTGTAATCACTGTTTATATAGAAATATGAGTTCCTGCGTGGTTTGCTGATTTTACTTGACTTCAGATGTATCTGTTCATGTTTTTTATGCATTATGGGAACACCAAAACAAAAACACTGCTGATTTTCTGTGCAACTAATGCTAATGCAAACTATAATAAGCTAAGCTGCTGGTAAGGTGAGCAGATTCCCCTGCTTTGTTTTGCTTTAGGTTAGTTTCAACACCATGACGGGTTTATAGAAAATTTCTGAGTCAAACTGACTCAAAGCAGGTCGATTCATCTCACCTTACCAGCTGATGATTTTTATTTCTTGTTTAAATAACAATAATAATAAAAAAAATAAGGTTGTTAGACTAATATGTGGATGGTGATGTATGTGTGTGCATTTTGGATTAACTTGTATGAACTCACACGGCTGCAAATACACAATGCAACTGCAAAGTTGTGAAATAAAATAAAGAAGACCTTGACATTTACTTAAATGATGCCAAAATTCAGATTAATTACTTTTTTCTTGTGTTAAAAATAGTTGCAGTAAAATATTTATTTCTTTACAAAACAGTTAAAAGATGTTCTTGTATATTAAGGACACAGAGTCAATTTGTGTTTTTAACATATTTTTACCTAAATGTAAGACTTTGATGCTGGATAAACAGTTTTTCTGTAATGGTAAGTTGTTTCTTAGCCATTAACACATTTATTAGAGTACATGAGTATGATTGGCAGCACTGAGACCCGCCTCCAGGCTCTGATTGGTTGATTTTGGACAGGAGTGGCCCATTTATTCAGATGACAATAGCAGCTCGGGGAGGAGGGGGAAGAGAGATCATTTGTGGGTTATTTTTCTCATACTGTCACGACATGGTGACAGTTTTAACAAATAAGAAATTTTATAAAAGTTTCTCAAATTGTTAAGTTACTGAAGCTTTGGTTTGACTTTTAGAAAAGGTCTGGCTCTGAACTATAGCCAAAATACCAAGATGGTAATTCAAACATAAGTGCACAATATTAATTATTCCTGTGCAGTCTGAAATTATTAATAATTAAAAAACATTTAGCTGTCACAGGCTGTAAAAAGAAAAATGTTTTCATAGAAAAACCACAGACAGTGCCTTTGTATTTCTAAGAAGTTGCATGAAATTGTCATCTTTTTGTGCCCATGAGGTTGTTGAATCCTCATTATGTGACTTCTCATCTCATCATCAACACAAACACACAGAATGGGTCACTGAGCTGCGCGGATAGATGAGCAGATGTAGGGCAGGACAAAGAGCATCGCTCCATTACACAGCTCCACCTCCATCCACAACACACACCAACATCGCTACGAGTGTGTGTGTGTGGGTGATCATGTATGCATGCATGAGCATTTCCTGATGACTAATCTGCTGCCATTATGGACGCTGCATTCGTGTGTCGCTGCAGGAAACGCACAGAATGAGAAAACCAGGCCCACCTTAAAGGAACAGACTCCCAGGAAGCATCGATGGCCTGACAGGACAAAACGCCCAGGACCAATGAACTGCAAATAAAACACTTAGCGGGCGTTTTGAACAGACTCACAGCACTTCATGGGGATTTAACCCAGATCTGCAGCAGAACGAGGGGCTTCATTATTTTTAAATACCCCTATAAATATCTCATCCTTCCTGAAAAAAACATGAAAGTTACTTCTGACTATGTTTAAACGACATTATAGGAAATTAATGTTTTTTTTTTCAATAACTCTGAAGATGTGTGAGTTGAAAATGATTACAGGAGAGCTGCTACTAAAAATTAATTTAGTAATTATTCTAACAATTAATCAAGATTAACAAACACAGAGGACAGAGTCCACATTGCCGTGTAAAGTAAGGATATTTGCAACACCACTGGAGTGTCATTTTAGAATTTTATGAATTTGGTTTTTGCAAAATGAAGAAACTGAATGCATGATAAAGAAAGAATAGATATAAGTTGTTATGTTTAGTTTTACTGAACAAAATCAATAAAGTTGCCTGTAGAGATTACAAACTTAAAGCTGCCAGATCACACTGCTGTAAATCACAACTCTGTTTCCTGGAGAAGTTCCAGCTTTTAGAAACCAAAGACAATCTGTTTTCTTATTATGTTTAACTTAAATCTAGTCAGTGTTTGAAATAAATATACAAAGAATTAATGAGCTTTTGATTGATTGTTTATTAGATTAAAATTAGTTTCAATTATTTAGTCCTTCTTTAAGTGTTGTAGTTTGGCCGCCAAACAGCAGAGGGCGTCACTGGTCATCCTTAAGCGTATCCAGTTCATACAGAAACAAAGATGGCGGAGGTAATACCAGAAAAAGAATTAGTCCAAACAGAATCAGATGTGGGATGAAAAATGCACTTTATGTGGTTCTGTTTTTCTCTTTGTGCAATATAACTCAGTTTTTTAAGAAAATGGCCGCTTGTCAATTAATTGTTAGTCGATCGATTAGACCAATCAAATTTAGATTAGCTCATGAATCGATAAATACCAAAAATTTTGTCTGTAAGTAAATATTTAATTTACAAACTACATATTTAATTTGAAAACTAAATATTTATTTTGCAAACTCAATATTTAGCATGTGAATTAAATATTTAGCTTGGACCTCTGACATTGGAAAATGTATGAATAACCTCATGAAAATATGAATTTGAAAAATGAATTCTCGCATTTTTTTTTTCTCTCTATGACAGGCTGTTAATTTTTTACAGTGTAGCTGTTCAAACGGCACCCCATACGCAGGCAGTACAGGTGCCAATACTTTGCGCATCTGTTGGTTTCCATGTTTGTTCTGTAATAACAGGTTTATTTACCGGTAGACATGGCGGACCGTTCATGTTCGCATCAGAGTAAATTATTCACACCGAATCTGTGTGACTCGGCACGGATGCTTCGGTTCCGTCAGGAGGGGGAGGGAGAGTTACGGCGGTGTGTTACATGTTTTATTAACACACACACACACACACACACACACAGTCGGTGTTCCAGGTCAGTGTTACAGCTTGTTCTGTTAAAGCAGTGAGGATTACGGAGGGGGATGGGAGCCGAAGCTCCGACCTCCTTTACTCAGCCGAACATTAAAGCACTTCCGGTTCCAATTCATGACGTCATCAGGCCTCATTTACATTTACTGCAGGAACAAACATTGAACTGGTTACCATTAATCTGATGCTGGTCCATCCATCCATCCATCCATCCATCCATCCATCCATCCATCCATCCATCCATCCATCCATCCATCCATCCATCCATCCATCCGTTCATCCATCCATCAATTCATCCATCAGTTCATCCATCAGTTCATCCATCCATCCATCCATCCATTCATCCATCCATCCATCCATCCATCAGTTCATCCATCCATCAGTTTATCCATCCATCAGTTCATCCATCCATCCATCCATCCATCCATCCATCCATCCATTTATCCATCCATCCATCCATCCATCCATCTATCCATCCATCCATTAATCTGTCCTTCAATTTATCTGTCCATCCATCCATCCATCCATCTATTTATCCATCCATCCATCCATCCATCCATCTATCCATCCATCCATTAATCTGTCCTTCAATTTATCTGTCCATCCATCCATCCATCCATCCATTTATCCATCCATCCATCCATCCATCCATCTATCCATCCATCCATTAATCTGTCCTTCAATTTATCTGTCCATCCATCCATCCATCCATCCATTTATCCATCCATCCATCCATCCATCCATCTATCCATCCATCC